AATGAAAACAACAACGGTTTTTAATTCATTTTGTAAGCAGAATAAATTTTTCAAAGTTTGGCTCATAAATAGCAAATGATGAGAATACAATTAAAAAAATCCACCCCCAAAAATTCCGGAAAACTCATTGTGCGAAGAAAAATATTGAGAACGATTTGCATCCACCAATTTTATGTCGATTATTTGTAAATTTTAACCCATTAATTGTGCATGTAGAACATCCGAATATTCGTCGTATTGGGCTTGATAAAAGTTTCCAAAATTTGGTTCATTTAAATTATACTTTTTCATAAATTCAGTTACAGATGTCTTTGGTCTATTATTCATTTGTCTGAAAATGGTTTTAGAAAAAAGCAAATGTATTACCATATTACTCGAAATAGTTTCAAGGAAAGCAATATTCATTACCGTTTTGTTGCACGTAGTTCATTATGTTCGATTTTTCCATTTGGTTGTTTGAAAACCAGGAATATATAACGATGTAAGCCGGTATCTTTTGGCGGACCAGCCCCTATATACTCGATAATTTCGTCTCCGTTTGCAACATCTGATTCTGGAATATTCATAATGAGCCAATGTCGAATGTCTCTGTAAGCAGGGTTGACTCGAGATGGCGCATCAGGGTCGACTAAATCATGATTAAACAAAATAAACAAATATGAAAGATTTCAATCAAAAATAGAGTAAAACATGCAACCTTTAATTAGAGTATAAAAAGCCCCCTTTTCAACTTCCCATGTCACAGTTGGTCGTTCCTTTGTTTGTGTTGGTTTAAGTTCGTTGCCCAAATTAACGATGGCGTCACTTCCATATGATACCTGGTTAATGTATATTTAGGAATTTTATGATTTTTTATCCAAATTTTAGATACTCACGCTTAGTATCTTTTTTGGTGCGGTCTTCAGTGTATCAGGTATAATTTCATTCTCTATAAATGATTTTTCTAAGTCTGACGACATATCACAATTACAGTATATTGTCATCATATACCATATCGTGACTGGCAAAAACATTTTTTTCATGAAAGCCATCACGTGCGGTTATTTTCCACTTGTTTTAATAAGTTAGTTTCAGTAACTTTGATTAAAATTAAAAACAAATTGATTTTTTCTAATTGGCGAGAAAACTAGCTATTTATGGATTTATATATTTACAATCAATGTTTATTTAAAAAAATGTATTGAAGAAAATGTTTTAGGAAGAGCAACGAAAATAGCAACGTCACGTCAACGTATAAAAAAACACAAGAGAAATTGTAAGTTTTCACTATTGCGAATTCTTTCATACTGACTACCTAAACATCTAACTGAAACTAATATATTGGTTGGATTCAGTAATATTTGCATATATGTGTAACTCATGCAATATTTCATTCATTAGAAGTTATCTTCTCTACATTCTCACGTCAATATATTTCGATATTGAAGTTATAAGTCTGAATATTGTTTTTGAATTTGATCTTTCAAACTATTTTTTAAAAATGTGAATCACAAATCCAAAAAGTACCAAATTCAAACAGTTAGGACTTCATGCGTTTGAAAAATTAAATAAATGTTCAAATATGTGTTATCGATATAATTCACGTGCACGACATTCGTGTTGATTGTCATTTGACTGTACTGTCACACAAGAGTGATTGTCATGTCACTATGACATTGTAGAAAATCACAAATATCAATGCATTTTATCTATTCAAAGAGCAACATTATCTTTTAAAAATCAATTCTATCTGATTAGGTTGAAATATACAATAGATAACTTTATTCCATCAACGTATTATAACTAGTTTGTGTTGGTGCAGTGTGCTTTGGTTGTTATTTGTTAGTCACATGATAGACACAGTGATATAAAGTCTTTGTTTTTTGGTTTTGGTAGGAGAAAAAATTTATTCGATAATGCCAGATTTAGGATCATGTATACCATTTCCACTGGAAGAGGAAGCATTAAAAGAAGTTATTTCGAAGGCAAAAGATTGGGCCATAATGCATGGTGCTGCCCTGCGATCAAAGGTCAATTTTTCGGAGGATTCACTTCAGGTATATTTTATGACTTGCACGAATGCAATAAGTTGATGAATTAAATTTTCTGATTTTTCATCATAGTTTGCGCCGTTCATTCTATTGCCAACCTTATTCCCTCGTCGCGAATTTGAAAAGGCAGTACGTTTGCAGCCGATTCTGAACGAGTTGATGCACTGGGTTGCACATGATACGGAATTTCTTCGTGAAACACTTTCCAACACCATTAAAGTTGACGAATTCACTCGAAAATTATTCGAGATTTATGAAAAGATTCTAGCCGACAAAGATTCGACACAAGTATGTATTGAAATGTAATTTATTCAATTGATGACAACAAATGACGGCTTCTCACCAAAAAACGACGCATTTAATTTGTAAAAATGAAGAAAATTGTTGTTGTATCCATTCGTGACACTTGTGTTTAAATATTGTGTGTGTGATGAAGCTGTCATATAAGGTATTTTCGTATATAGAATGTTAGGTTTGAATGCAATTGTAGCAATTTTGTTGTATCGTTTTTGTCCCACCAAACAATGGAGGAAACAGGAACCCATTTTGTGCATTTTGCTTCTGCTCTAATTTCTTTTTTAACCACAACACCAATTTCGTAATGTATATGTAAACTCAAAGAATCATTATCGACTTAAAAAAAACACTAATGTACATGGAAAACTGTTCATTCTATCTATATATTGGTGTAATGTTTCATTCTAAATACACTCATGACAGTCATATTCATTGGGACTATTGAGATCTGATTTGATGCTAGAATCGTGCTGCACTGACAAAGATAACCAACGACCATACTGCTGTTGGAAACAAATTGAAATCAATACCATCGCTTCTGGATTTGGACATTTAGGTCCAATAAGTAGAGAAATACAAAGGTTATTCATCTATTTCAGTTAAATCATTTGTTGTTTCTAGAATTTCGTTTTTATTTAAAAAAAAAAAAACAAAACGGATTTAGTCGTGTCATAGATGGAAAATAAAACTACTGAATTGAGTGCTTTTGCGCCTTATAAACACAACAATGGAATATCGGTCACCGTTATAATTCAATCTTTACAACTGTGAAATAAATCAATTACACCATACACGACAACCGATATAGATACATGTATATACAGACATATGCACAACCGGTTTCCATTCGACAGATTAGTTGGTTCCCTTTTTCCGCTTGCACAACAGGCTTTTTATAATTAACCAACATATCTCTAGTAACTAACCCACATGTATAATTTATTTGCTTTAGTTGTGTATTTATTTCTGTGTTTGAATAGTTTTCGTAGCTTATGTCACAATAAATTATGAAATGTGGTTTCAATTCCAATTCAGTGTGACTGTTTAATGTAGAAAATGAGAAAAAAAAAGAAAAGAGAAGATGTAAAAAATAGAGCACATACCAAATGGGAGACATTATCATTTTCAGGAGACTAGATCCCTGGGCCTCTTTCGATCTGACTATATGACCCATTCGTTGGAAACAAACGAAATTAAACAGGTGGAATTCAACACAATTGCATCTAGTTTTGCGGGTATTTCGAGCAATTTCCAATCACTGCATAGGTACAAAATATCTTAGTTAATTAGACACCAAAATACACACAAACTCACGAATCAACATTTTGCAATCAGATTTTTCTTTTTATTTTACATTTTTACCAACTCCTCGCACTTATATCCTTTTGAAAGTCATATTCATATTCGTTTTTTATAGCCTTTGTCATATTGATTTTTTAAAAGATATTTTTTCATCATTTTTTTCCTCAACAATTTTTGGCCAAATAATTCATAGATGCTTTTATAAAAGATACCGCAAAAAAAAGAAAAAAAATCAACTTTTCCACTTCCATTATCATTGAATTCCTAGTTCATATGATTGGTGAAAAAAAATACATGTGTTTTCAAAATGGAACGAAATGCACTCCATTCAATACTTTTTTTCATATCATTTGTGACCGCTTTTTCACGACAATATTTCTATTAAAAATGTATTAACCATTTTTCATTTTAAAACCAATTCGATTTGAAAATGTTGATGTTTTCAAAAATTCATTTGTGGTGGGTAATACTTTTGTGCAATTTAACAAAAATGACATGTCTGATATTTTAAATCAAATGAAAAACATTTTTTATACAAAGCAATAGATGTACAAAAGTTTTAACCATCATAAAACATTTTCAGTAAAAGTGTTCAACCAGAAAAGTTGAAAGTACGCATTGAAAAAGAACTAATAAACGTTTTTCACGACATCTTAATCTGTCAAGAAGAAATTTTGAATTTTTCTGGTTTGCACAAATAAAAATACTATTTAAATTGTAAGCCATTGTTAATATCATTTCCACATTTAATTCTCAGCTTTGTGCTAACGGAATTGAATCATGCTGACAAGGTGAAAAACGTAAGATATCAACTTTTTTCGTCGGTCATCAAAGTTGTAGTTAGCTAAAGGTTTTGCATTTTTTTCAGTTGCCACAAAATAACGCCTTGGCTGGTTTGTGCGAGGGAATGATTGAGGCTTGGAATCTCAAAGGAAATCCAAATGCCGCAATTTTGTTTATTATTGAAGATGTTACCTACAACATTTGTGATCAAGTGAGTGAATCTCTGGTTAAATTGTATTGCATTTGCTATTTATTCCCGTTTTTTATTACAGAGATTTCATGAATTTTACATTCGTAAGATGCATCCAGAAATTAAGGTTATTCGGAAAACATTGACCGAAGTTCATCAATTTGGATCACTAGGACCAAACAATGAGCTTAAAATGTAAAAAAAAGTTGTCAAAAAAGGTGCCGAAAAATACTTATTAAAATTAATCTATCTGTTTTATTTAGAAACGATGTCGAAGTAACCGTTGTGTATTTCCGTGCTGGTTATGAGCCTGGACACTATCCTTCACAAAATGAGTGGGACGCACGTTATGTCATTGAAAAATCGACTGCAATAAAATGTCCATCAATTTCGTATCATTTGGCTGGTACCAAAAAAGTTCAACAAGCATTAGCCAAACCGGGTATCTTAAAGCGATTCATCACCGATGACATAAAAATCAAACAAATCACCGACATTTTTACCGGACTTTATGCCATGGACAGTAATACAGATGAAGGACAAACTGCATTACGTATGGTGTTGACAGATCCAGCAAAGTAAGTACACCTATTATAATAGTGAGAGCTAAGGTCTTCTCATAATATGCATTCGTATTACTTTGTACAGATACGTGCTCAAGCCTCAACGAGAAGGGGGCGGAAATAATGTTTATGGCCATGACATTCCAAACGCTTTACAAGTAAGTTTTATTATTGTGTTATTTGTATGGCTTGTGAAAATATAATGGATACTTATTCTATGTTTAGAAAATGTCAGATGTTGAGCGTTCTGCTTGGATTTTAATGGAGCGTATTTTTCCACCAATTTCAAAGGGGTATATGATCCGACCCGGTGGTTCATTTCCACCGCCACTTGTTGATTTAGTTTCAGAGCTTGGAATCTTTGGTGCGGTCATCGGCGATAAGAATGCAATCGTATATAATTCACACTGTGGCCATATGTTACGTACAAAATTAGAGAAATCCAATGAAGGTGGAGTGGCAGCTGGGTCTGGCGCACTTGATAGCCCGTATCTGTATGATGATTGAGTCATCCGATGAAATCGCATTTTGTAAATTCTATATATTTTTGTTATGAAGATCGAACTATTTACACAACTTTTTTTTTTTCAAAATATTTGTTCTGTATATGCACATAAAATAGCGCAAAGGAATTTAATAAAGCGGAATATGTAAGAACAGCTCTTATCTTTTAATCCCATTAAAATCAATGCTTATCTAACACATAACATAAAAATTTGTTACGATGAATGAGAACAAAGAGCATATAAGGTTTGTTTGTTTTCTCACTAAATTACGTCTTTATTATGGATTAAATCACCTTCTTTACGACATAACGCAGAAATCAAAATAAGGAAAATTGAAATTATATAATTAAATAGTTCTCATTCAACAAAAGAGACGTAGAATAAGGTGTGAATAATATGCGATGTAACAATAACATGGAAACTTTGCGAAAAATACATTACATGGTTTTGCATTGACAATGAAATAAAGAGAAAAACTAAATGAGACACGTGTCATATGTTTGGGTTCCGATTTTCGTCAATTTTAATACTTACCGAAATATATTTTTTGCCAAATTGGACATCGCTAAATTATTTCATTGTCTTTGAACACGTCATTTCAAAATAAACCATTCATTTCTGAATTTTTGATTAAAATGCCGATAAAAATAGTAAATTTCTTGTAATTATCTCTTAATTGGACTTTATATTACATACAAAGGTGGACAATGAAATTCAACACCGTCTCAAGAAACCGTCAATACTATACTAGACTATTTTTAGTCGAAATTGTGGCAGTAGAAAACCGAATTCGCTATAAATAGTGTTTAGATTTTGTCTTTTTATGGTTGAGCTGTATCATGCCTTGTTCTAAGAAAGAAATTATCAAAATATGTAAAAATATATCAAGATGTGACGTAGTTGCAAACGAAAATAGCATGAAGCAAAAACACGAAATGGCATTGGATATTATTTGGATTTTAATGGAAAGTTAAAATTCAAAAATTAAAAAGTTTTCAGAAGTTAGATTGTTTCTTTAAAGAACTCAACCAAGTATTGTCTTAGAACTGCACTATTTTATTTGCGGTTTGTCATTGAAATACTGATGTTAAAAACTTTGAACGACACGATGGGATACAGCTGTTAATTGTACTGTTTATTATATCGTTGGAGACGCTTTTTGTGTCGTAGTTTATCCGATTGTTTTTTTTTCATTTCATTTTGTTTCACCTACGTCTCACCTTTTCTTTTTGAGTGTATGAAATTACTGATGCATGTAGCATATTTCTAGTCTGTTAGATAGATGGAATTAGAAATTATTTCAATTAACCATTACTCGCGCGCGCTTTTTTGTTCTTTTATTTAAAATTCCAGCCACTCTTTTTTCTGAATTCAAAGAGGTACCATTATCATTGTTATTTTTTATTTGTAAAAAAGGCATGGTTTTATTGAAGCAAGAGCTTCTTTAACATCTTTAAAAGAATTTCTAGATTTCTTTTTTTTATTTCAAAATTGAAAAAAACTGAAAACAAATGATTTCTCTCTACTTATCATTCATAGATGTCGCTCACGTATCATTCTCGTTCTAATTCGATTCTGTCAATCTGTCATTTTTGTATTTAAAACAAAGCGCACCCTTTTCAACACTGAAAACAACACAATTTGATGTTTGTCCAACAAGTGTGTCTGTGGTAAAGTTCGGTCTCGCTAGAATTTGAAAGAAATGGCAAAACGTGGTTAAAAACCAACCGATCCTTGTCAATACAAGGAGAAATGTGTTCGGAAAAATCCACATCATTTCATGGAATACGCACACGAACACTTGGAGAATATAATCAAGGAAAATCAAAACAAGAACGAGATCGAGAACTACAACGTTCCAGCGGAGCTGATGACAAACAAAGCCGTATATTTGGATCAAATCAAAATTATCAATGATTTATTTTCAAAAACGTCACCTGAACCCAGTGCAAAGCGTATTAAAATAGAAAAAACAGTGCCTGAAACGAAGTCAAAAATGAAACCCATCATATCTGCTGCGCAGTTACGAAATGCACTCAATTCGATTTCACGTCAAACACCATTGCAAAAGTTGAACGCAGCAAAGCCGTACAATTACTTTTTGACAGCAATCGAATCGTCACCACAAACTCACACAGAACCATTAAGCATCACATTCCAAGAACTTTTGCATCCATCTTTGGGCGATATCGAATGGTCGGTACAAATAAATTTTGTTGTTGAAATGGAGTTTTTACTTCGTCAATACACAATGGCTGGATGTTCAGGTAAACCGTTATTCATTTTACATGGAGACGAACGAATTCCAAATGGCACAAGATCACAAGTGACAACGCATTTTATTAAAATGAATAGTGCGTATGCAACGCATCATACAAAAATGATGTTGTTCGGATACAAAGACGGATCAATGCGTGTGATTGTTTCGACAGCTAACCTGTTTGAAGAAGATTGGCGAAATCATGTTCAAGGCTTATGGATAAGCGATCGATTGCCGCCGATAAAATCAGAAAACAAAGCATCAATTGGTGGTGAGAGCGTAACGGGATTCCGAAACGATTTGGCCAAGTACTTGGAGGCATACAAGTTGGCGCATTTGAATCCATTTATCAAACGTATTCGCAACGCCGATTTTTCTTCAGTGAACGTTTTTTTGGTAACATCAATACCTGGCACATCCGATCAATGGACGAATGACAATGCACATGGTTATAGCCGGGTTCAATGGCTTTTACAACGGCACTGTGAACCAATCAACGATACAACACCGCTTGTGGTACAATGCTCAACTTTTGGTAACCTTGGTGCAGCAGGAAATGGCTGGCTCAATGAATTCAAAACTAATTTGTGTCGCGATTCTCAATCAAATATTGGACGTAAAATGTCACCGATTCAAATAATTTATCCAACGAAAAATAACGTTTTGCGTAGCTATGATGGAGCACATGGCGGTGGTTCCTTATTGTATGATCGGAGACGACATGAAGCACAACAGTGGTTGAACGAATTTTTGTATCAATGGCGTGCTAATGAACGCCATCGCACACGCGCTATGCCACACATCAAAACGTACGCTCGATTCACCGATCAAAAGTTGCATTGGTTCATTTTGACATCAGCCAATTTATCGAAATCAGCTTGGGGTTGGCAAAAAACGAAGAAAAAATTTGAAGTGAGCAATTACGAAGCCGGCGTTTTATTTCTCCCAAAGTTCGTAACGAAAACGAAGTACTTCGCAATGGATGCATCCGATCAAACGACACCGGTATTTCCGAAGGTCTATGACATTCCACTAATAAGATACCAGACAGATGATCGTCCATTTTTCCGAGAAGATGTTTTAGACGATGTTCTTCCAAACGGCTGTCCCATTGCTTGAGTTGACATTCTACATTTTTTTCTATCTTTTGTACACATTTTCATTAAAAACTTATTGAAGCGATGAAATACATTGAGTTACATAGTTTGTAAGAGACTCATAAATTGATGTGTATGACGACAGATATTGGATAAGTAATGGATACATAAAATTTGAAACACAATAATAATAACCTTTATTATCGAAATAAATATATAAATTGATTTATCGCTCAAACCTAATTGTTATTATTCTTTTCCGTATTTTTTTATTTGAACTTTTTTCTAATTTATGTATTGATTTTTATAAGATTCAATTAAATGAAATTCAGTGACCAAATTTACTACGTTAAAATTTAGATTGGGAATCGTCTTACCGTCAAACTCCGGCATAACTTTTGCTTTTTCCTTTTTTATTGGCAAAGTATATGAAGCTAAATCAAATCATTACTTTTCATCAAAATCATCATATTTCTATTAAGTCAATATGGAACACACATGTAATTTTTTCGGTTGGTGAAACGCGTGAAACTTAAGTAGCGAAAACTCAGGAAAATGGAACAAAATCGTAATTTTTTTGAAAAATACGCAGTGAATAGATTGGGCTACAGCTATAGCAGTGCTATTTTCACAGCCCCTATTCATAGGTGCTATTTATGAACAACGCATATGGACAGCGATTTTATGATACAATAACGTAGCCCGATCTATTCACTGAAAATACGTGATTAACCCCTGCTTTTCTTTTCGATAGTCGATAGATTACAACGAAAAAGAAAGACTTTTACTTTGAAAGAAGATGGTCGGCTAAAATTCATGATACCATGAATCCATGCTACTTTGTTCAAGGTATTAGGTAGGCCAACCCAAGCAAAACGTATGAGATATGGAACTAAATTCCAAGCTTATTCCAAATCATCGTCATCGGAAATTGCGTACTTCTTGTGAATGCGTTTTCTACGTGTTGGTGCTTGTTTTCTAGCCGCATAGATGCGACCCGTCATCAAACTCGTCATCGTCGTTTTCATTAGAATCGAGAGCGTCACCATTATCACCATATCTGTTTATGTAAGCATTAAGTTGAATGAATTATTTTATTTGAGAATAAAGTTAAAATTTGAGTAATCAAAGGAATTCAATCTTATTTACCAATCTTCAGCGGCTTGTTCCACATTGAAAAATACCGAATGCGACTGAATACTGTCCTCAAAGATGAGTACACAAAATCATTTATTCTTAAGGTTGTCTGGGTCGCTGAATCCATATCTGCCATTCACATTTCGTATATACCAAAGCAATTAAAATGATGAGTAATAAAATATCTTTGAAAATGAATACAATTTAAAAAAAAAATAATTTTCTGTTTTTTTTTTTTTTTTTTTTTTTCTACTACCTATTTGACGCAGCTAAGATGAATCAAATTGGTCTCCGGTCTGCTATAAACCATACAAAATACGTATGATTTTCATTTAATTTTCTGTTTGCTCTCTGTCTCGACCATTTGCAATAATCGTTTAGAATTCGTTATAAAATAATATTTGTTTTGATTATTACAGGGATGAGTAGAATGACAAAACATATTGTATTTATAAATAAGCACGTTTATCAGCGAAATACTCAGAAGAGTTTCTACCTTATATTAGCGATAACGAATTGAAGCAGCTTAAGAAAAAAAAATCATTTGGTTATTTGGTGTTGAGTCGATCTATTGTTTCGAATAAAATAAAGAAGATAAATTTTAATTTGATTTACTAACATCAACATTTTATACCCATGAGAAAATGAACAAAATATATGTTATAACTACAATTATAATCTTCTTGTGGTCGACAACGATTTCTGTTCAAGATGTGGAGGTCAAGGAATCACCATTAGTCATTGATTTGAAGATTTCAGTAATTGCGATTCAAAATGCAGGAATTTCCCCAGAACAGATAGATAACGTGAAGGTATACGAATTTGATAAAGACGCATTCGTAGATGGTCGCACCACAGTCATCATCGAAAGGGAAGGAGTTCCTGCTACACTATTAACATATGTACGGCGAGGATCTAAACCGATATTAACGCCGTATCCTAGTTGGAATGAAAACGCCAATATAATAAAATCAGTATGCTCTGGAATCACTCTATCCCGTATATGTGTCGTAAGTTTTCGTTTTCTTTTCAAATATATTTTTTTGATTATTATTTTTAAAAAAATGATTTGTTTTAGACTTGTAATCAACTTTTTGTCCTCGATTCTGGTTGGATCGGCATTGAACAAATATGTCCAGCGAAGCTACTAATTTTTGATTTAAAAACAAACAGACTGGATTCAAGTATCCTAATACCTCCAAGCCTATTCAATGAAAGACCACAATTTTTAAATATGGTATATATAGCATAAAATATTTTCAGTTGCTGTCTATTAGTTAAAACATTTATATTCTTGAAACAAAGATTGTAGATGCAGAAAATGTATACTTTGTTAACAACGAAACTTGTATGAATGTGAATGCATTCAACCATCGAATTAACACTTGGTGTAAACAAACTGACTGTAATTTTCGCATCACAAATCAAAATGTTGATCTGAATGACGGTGTTATTGGTCAGAGCTTAAGTAATGAAGAGTTATCAAATCAATACATGATCATTTAATTGACTCAAGTTTTTTTTCATACATGTTTAATCAACAGGTACCGATTACATATATTTCACATTATTGACAGATAACAATAGATACGAAATGTTCAAAATGTCATTGAATCCACTGAAGGATTGTACGGCATCCATGGAAAATCAAAGTGCATCCCCTGTTAAGTTTCTTTCTATGGGCCAAATTAATTTGTCGAAAGCAGCTATAGAAATTGATTCCAATGAAAATATGTTCTTTTTCATGGAAACAGATGAAATCTGGTGCTGGAATACTAAACGCTCATTCACCAAAGAAAATTTTCATTTGTTTGCAGAGCTAACATTTAAAAACGCCGACAGGCTGCAAATAATAAGAAATCAACAAGACAAAGAAGAGCTTTGCGCTTGGTCGACCGAACCGCAGGTAAAAAAATGGTGCAATGAGAGCGCTGCACATAATTTAAATTTCAATGGAAAGCATAAATATTTCAATTTTTTAGAATTTCGAGATAAGAAACAAACGGATGGAGATAAAAATCGGTTTTGCTAAATTTCAAATCGGTCAACTCATAAATGGAGGAATTTGTGGCATTTAACTTGGAAATAAATTAAATGACCTTTTAGGTGGGAAACACGGGATCTATCATTGCTACTTTTTCCTATTTTTTTAGTAAATTGCATATAACATGTATATTTGACAAGACTCTAGTTTGTATCTACCCCTAGATGACCTTATGAGACGTTGAAATTTGGTTAATCGAATGTTTTTCACTAATTAAATTATGATGAAAAAATAAAAATTAACTTTCGTTATGGGCTGTACACTTTTTGCGTATTTATTGATAATTAAATATAAATATTGTCGACCTATTAGGTTCAGAACGAACTCCTTTTGCAAAGCCTGTAAAACATGTGGAGTAGATTTTTAGACTGACCTTTATATGATTTTTAGCATTTTTATGAATCATTACAAGGAATCTGGTATATCGAATTGATGTGGTATTTGGGTTCGATTTTCATTTTTTAGTTTAGTGAGCGTCGACACACCCAGCTGATTCGATCGTTTGAATGTTAGCTTGACATTCGGCGGCATTTGAAGTGCTCCTTTGATGTCATCACTCACGACCGAAAAGTATGAACACATTTTCTACCGTTTGGTGAGGTTGAGAGAATGGCGCTGTTCAAATAATGATTATTTTCCTTATTTTTTATTTCAAGTTTTTCTCAAGTCGTTTTGTCTTGATTTTCGTGGGATTCAATTGAATGAAATTTAATGACCAAGAAGTTAAATTAAATAATTAATTTTCATCAAAATAATCAAATTTCTATTCGGTGACCATTCCAATTTTTAAAAAATACCAATAATTTATTTATCTTTCATTTGACCATCCATAGATGTCGCTTTCATTCGTTCTAATTCAGTTTCGGTCCTGTCAACTGAATTTGACATTCTTATATTCAAAATAAAGCGCAGAATTCTCATTTAACAAAAGATCAATTTCTAGAAACAAACAAAACATTCACAAATTGACGAGTGTCCACCCAAGTTACTGTCCGTGTTAGAGTTTGTTATCGTTAAAATGTGTACGTAATGGATCAGTTCCTGAAAAAACGTGATGAAAAATCAACCGATCCTTGTCAATACAAGGAAAAATGCGTTCGCAAGAATGCACATCATTTCATTGAATATGCACACGAACACTTGGAGAATATAATCAAGGAAAACTTTTCTCGCAACAAGAACGAGATCGAGAACTACGACATTCCAGAGGAGTTGATGACAAACAAAACCGTATATTTGGATCAAATCAAAATCATCAATGATGAATTTTCAAAACCGTCACCTGAACTCAGTGCAAAACGTATTAAAATTGAAGTGCAAAACGACACACAGCCAGATGTCAAACCAATTATATCGCCTGAGCAAATACAAAACGCACAACGTTCTGCTGCACGTCAAACATCGTCAAATGTATTGACCAAATTGAACGCAGCAAAGCCGTACAATTATTTCTTGACAACAATCGAATCATCAGTACGAACACATACTGACCCATTGAGCATCACATTCCAAGAACTATTGGATCCATCTTTGGGAGAAATTGAATGTTCAGTGCAAATTAATTATCTAGTTGAATTGGATTGGTTACTGGATCAATATAGACAAGCAAATTGTTTGAATGCACCGGTACTCATTTTGCACGGTGACAAAGAAATTCCGACAAAATTATCACAAGTAACTACGCATTTTGTTGACCTTGAACAAGGAACGCATCATACAAAAATCATGTTGTTCGGATACAAAGACGGTTCAATGCGTGTCATTGTGTCGACAGCTAATTTGCGTGCAGTAGATTGGCGAAATTACACCCAAGGTATGTGGATAAGCGATCGATTGCCGCCGTTAAAATCAGAAAACAAAGCATTTTTTGATGATGGTGAGAGTGCAACGGGATTTCGCAATGATTTGATCATATATTTGGAGGCATACGATTTGACGCATTTGGATCCATTTATCGAACGTATTCGCAACACGGATTTTTCTTCAGTGAACGTTTGTTTGGTGACATCAATACCTGGCTCATTCGATGACTGGACAAATGATTATGCACATGGTTATTGCCGCGTTGAATGGCTTTTATCACAACATTGTGAACCAATCAAGAATACAACACCGCTTGTGGTACAATGCTCAACTTTTGGAAACCTTGCTAATCGTAAGGATGAACGGGGTTGGCTGAATGAGTTTCGAAATAGTTTTCGTCAATCAAATCCTACCGGTAAACTACCACCGGTTCAAATAATTTATCCAACGTTTGATAACGTTGAGGGATCATATGATGGATTAGTCGGCGGTGGTTGCTTGCGGTACAATAAGACACGGCACAACAATCAACGATGGGTGAAGAAAATGATGTATCAATGGCGTGCCGATGCACGTCATCGCACACGTGCCATGCCGCATTTGAAAACTTACTGTCAGTGCTCGGACAATAAGATGTTTTGGTTCATTTTGACATCGGCCAATTTATCGAAATCAGCTTGGGGATGGAAAAAATGGAAGCAAAATGAGGTTCAGGTGGGCAACTACGAAGCAGGAGTAATGTTTTTACCGAAATTCGTAACACACACAAAACACTTCTCAATGGATGCATCTGACCAAACGACACCGGTATTTCCAAAATTATACGACATTCCGCTGACCAAATACAATAAAAATGATCGTCCTTATCATCAAGATGAAGCGCTACCAAACGACTGTGTCACTACTTAGTTTCGACGTATGAACCATTTTCTTTTTGATTATTTTTTTTAGTTGACATTTAATTTGAAGTCTAAGGACAAAAGTCGACAATCACTCATATCAAAGTAAGAAAACATTTAAGAAAACTAAAGTACCTATAAATATGTTTCGGAATTGATGGTTCAATAAGCTATACATTGTTTAATTAGTTAGTAAGGCCCAGGGGCTTTTATGTTAAAATGAATACTACGATTTCAGTAAATATTGAAACATAATGCTGAATATTCAATGAATATTGTATGTATATAAAGAATATACACAAATAAATGTGTATAATTGCATAAATTTGATGAATATTTCGTGAATATTTCGTGAATATTTCCTGTATATATGAAATATACATATTTTGTCATTCTCTTTAGTGCGGACTTTCTTCGTTCCTGTGTCGCTTACTGTGAATATTCACAACATACAGTAGAAAATACGAAATATTCACTAGAGATTTATGCCGTATATATGATGAATAAGACGTGTATATTGTGAATATTATGTGAATATTTCGTATATTCATATACATAAAAGCCCCTAGGTAAGGCATTCGTTAATTTTTTACGACAGAATAAGTAATGGATACTTATAATTTAAAATACAATAATAATAAACTTTATTATTGCAATAAACTTATTGCTCGGATTTACAATTAATGCCATTTTGTAAATTTTTGATATTTAAAAAAAAATTGAATATTGTGGGA